GGAAATGTCCTTGCTCTTCAGAGACTGCCCTGGGAAGAGTCTCCCTGGACATTGGGATTCCCGGATGTGAGGCTACTACAGCTGCCCTGCTGTGGATGAAGCTGCAGTAGGACAAGGGAAGAGCTAACAGAACTGCAGGGAAATGGAGCCAGAGCACTTGACTCCATCAGCCTTAAAGCCTGAAGTACCTCTGGACTTCAGTTTGTGATCCATATAAGCCACTTTGAGTTTTCTGTTGCTTGCACATAAAGAAATCTTAACTAATACATGTTATCAATAACTAAAATGTTACATAGTACTAACTATAAAGATGAAAAAAAATTGCCTATATAAAGAATGTAATAGTGACTAATGGGTGAAAAGATGAGAAACTGCATTATAATAATATAAGATGACTTCCTCTAGATTGCAAAAGGCTAAATTATGAAGCAGTTTAGCACTGAGCCTAAGGCATTGTCATCACTCAGGATAGTTTGAATAAGACCAGGTAAAAAGGACCTAAAGTGGTAAGGTATCCACTGTGGCCATACTCAACCTCAGCATAGGCCTTTTTGAAGAGAATACAGTAGATGCAACCTACTGTATGGTCTAAAACGGTCCTCAGGATGCCCTGATCAAAAGACCAGAGACTGCTCTAGAAGCTCTAGTAACAATACTACAGTTTCAAATGGAGGGGCGTGGTCTGGAGGATGGTCAGTCCAATTTGTGGAAGCCACAACCAGTTTTGTTCATAAATAAAAAGGGGAGGCTTCAAGGAATTGGGAAAGTGTTCCTCCCCCATCTGAAATACTTCCCCAAATCCTTCACATTTGACACTATGTTAACTCAGAAATAAAGACAATTCCTTAGTGACCAGAGATAAAAGACCTCACATGCAAATTTCCATGTGGGCACTTATACGGTACTAAAAACTTGGCCATGCTAAAGTGGACATTAGTTTGCTTTTTGTCTCAGTAGCTCTAGAATACAACCTTTGTGAGGCCAGGCATATTTTTGCCTTGTTCACTGCTCTATCCTTAGTGACTAAAATGGTGCCTAATCCATAGTATATGCAAAATAAACATTTATGAATGAATGAATGGCAGATATATGAGTCTTTACAAAGAGCAAACTTTTATAGGAAGAAAGAAAATCTCCAGAGGGCACTATATGACTGAAAGAGGTAGAAGGAAAAGTAAACCATGAATAAGCAAAAGGAGCGGGTAAATGGACAAAAGATGGGAGAGGTGATTTTTCTTTTTCTTCATTTAGTCTAGGACAGGCCCTGAATGAGTTCTCACACTGGATCCCATGTCAGGGGGTTGGGAGACTCTGTCTGACATCCTAAAGATACAGAAACACAGACAGGATTTGAACCACGTAGTAGAACCATACTGCACCCCACCCCCTACTGGCTCACACCAATCTTGTTCTCAGAATATCAGTCCCCTCCCCAAACTCCAGAGGTGGATTTATCATGAAGCTAATGGAGCTTAAGCTTCAGTGCCCCTCAGTTTGACAGGAAGGGCCCTAGCAACACATTCATTCACTTGCCATATGTTTTTGCAAAACTTGTAAAAGTTGGATATTTTAGTCACATTAGGTCAGACTGATGTCCCTTTCCACTCCAACCTCTCCTCATGCCAGATGGCACCAAAGGGGCTGCAGGCATTTTGAGGGGCCAGGCAAGGCAAGTGGAATCAGAGGTACATTAATTTGGCTTTAGTAGAATGTATTTGTGTGATTCCCAGTCAACTGTATGTATAATTATTGCTATCCATCCTATTATAGGAATGGCTTTCAGGAAGATTCCAACAGCACGCTGTGAAAACTCACCTGGTGTCATAACACCAAGTGGCAGAGCTACAGTTTGTATCACAATATGAATATTTCTAAGACCCTAATGGAGGAGATTCAAGGGTTGAAATGGATGGAACCAGAAGCTGGTCTGTGGAAAATTCTTTCCAATCAATTGTAACTGAGAATTTAGTTTTCACTGACACCTAGTCAGAATGAAGTTTTCTCCTATTAGGAATATGCATGTAGATGCAATGTATACTATTGAATTTTTGTACTATACAATAAAATTACTTTTTATAGATTTGCATATGAAGTCAGTAGAAACTAGTCTGACATTTAGAAATAAACTATAACAAAAAGTATAGTTCATTCCAAAATTAGTAAGTCATTAAAAGGAAGAGATAAATTGCTGGTAGCAATAATAAATAAGCTCTTGTATTATTTAATGATCTAATTAATAAAAAAGAGTGAGTTATGTGAACATATTTGAAAAATATTTAAGTTTCTTTATGATTTGACAGTAATATTCATATTGACAAAGATAATATAATTCATAATACACTAATTAGTTAATAGTGAGTGCCATCAATTCAAAGCATATTTAAGATTAGGCACTGAACAACAACAAAAACAAATAAGAAATGTTCTGAAATCTTAGTGTTCATATATGACAAAAATGTAATGGAAGTTTCCCAAAATGTTTATGTGATGGTACCAAGAATGAGTTATGAAGCTCACAAAAACTTTTCTAATTTTATTAATAAAAACAAATTTGGCCAACCATACTACAGGACAGACTGATTTATCTTTCTATATACACTCTCAATAGAAAATACTATGAAATCTTGGTCATACGAAGAGGTGATCCAAGAGTATAGAGGCAACAAAATGAAGGAATAATTATTCAGGACTATCAGGGAAGTTAAGTAACAAAAATATTGTGGGGTATTTGGGGGGGAGATTTTGTGATGTTTGTAGCATTTAAATATTTTTCTGGTGGCATTTAAATATTTTTAAAGTGTGCAATTTATGACAGTTTCTTTTCTCATTTTAAATAAACACACCGACTTAATTTTGTGTAAATAATCTTGTATACTCTTTTTTTTTTTTTTAAGTCTCTAAACTTATCCAAGCTTCAGATCTCAAAAGCGCTACTTTATTAAGAGGAAAAGATCCTGGATTCAATTCTGCTTCTATTCATTCCAGCTCTGGATTTATCAAACCATTACTCAGATTTTATAACACACCACACACACTAAAACACAAATAAAACTTTCTAAAGCTAATGAAATGAACTAAAATGGATTGTTTCATATTCTCAACCTTTTCTCAATAGCTCAGAGATCCTGACACTGTTTTGTTTTTTCATAGATGTGTAGATGCGTGTTGGGGATGGAAGGGAACTAAAATTAGGGTTCTGGAATTCAGAAACACTCTTAGGGTTTGTAAAATATAGGAAAAACTGGGAATCATTACCTATCTTAGTTTGTTTGGGCTGCTATTACAAAATGCCATCAATTGGGTGACTTCCAAGCAATTAGAAATATATTTCTCACAGTTCTGGAGGCTGGGAAGTCCAAGATCAAGGTGCCTGGCAGATTCCGTGTCTGGTGAGGACCCTCTTTCTTGTTCATAGATGGCACCTTCTGGCTGTGCCCTCACGTGGTGGAAGAGTGAGGGAACTTTTGGGGGCAACTTTTATAAGGGCACTGATCCTATTCAAACTTGTAAAAGTAGGTAGAGACTAAGTGCCTCTTCGAAGTTTTGCAAAACCTAACTGCTACTTTTAAAATTAACCAAAGCTATAAGAATAAAATGAATAGGGCTATTTTAAAGAGTAAATGTGCTCAGTAATAGGTGTGCTATAGATGTTAGCTTTCTTCTGAAATATATAGAGTAGGATGTCAACTTATGGAAAGAATGTGAATTTTTCTGGTCATAAATAGCAGTGTATTTTCCTAACAATGCTAGTGAATCCATACAGACTATTTGAATGATGTTGTACCTTTTTGCCTTATCCTAGAGCTAATACCAAATAGAGCAATGATGTGTATGGGCAATTTATGAGAGAAATAAGAATGTCCGGTAACATAATATGAATAATTTAACATCCTTGGTCATCAAACACAATGTAAACAATCAGATACCATTTCATCTCTCAGACTGGCCAAGATTAAGAATGATGAAAATACCTACCTACTGTTGAAAAAGAAGGAAGAAGAGGAATATACTCATAACATTGGATAGTTGGAGTTTAAGCTGGTACAGATGTTTTGAAGGCCAATTTAAAAGTAGACCCCCTGTCTGTCCAAAAAGAAAAACTTTTAAAATGTCCAATCTGCATTTAAAGCTAAACATATGCCTACTTCATGACCTCATAATTCCCCTCCTAGTTTACATTCAAAAAGTGTAAATATGTTCTCCTTAAGACATGCACAAGACTATTCACAGCAACTTTATTCATAACAGCCTAAATGTCTATCGAAATAAAATGAATCCATAAATTGTAGTATATTAAAAAAAATAGGATACTATGCAGCAATAAAAAGAATGAACTATTGCTAATCACCACAGCATGCATGATTCTCATAGACATTATGATGATTGAAGGAGGCCAGAAACAAAATAATACACCCTCTGATTCCATTTATAAGAATTTCAAGAACATAGAGTAGATGATGACTGGGAAGGGGCCTGAAGGAGCACCCTAGGGTGTTACATATGTTTAATACATTTATCTGGGTGGTGGTTGTACAGTTGTATACACATATGTAGAATTCAACTAGTTGTATATTTAAGGTTTATTCACTTTATTGTATACATGCTATACCTCAATTTAAAAGTTTTAAGAATACATGCTCTTCAATTTAGCAATTACATTTTCATCCTAAAGAAAAAGTCAGAGAAATATATAAAAGGTTCATACACAACAATGATCACCATAGTATTATCTACAGTAGCAAAAGGCTGGAAATAAAATTCCATAATAAGGATAAATAAATAAATTGTGATACATTCAAACAGTAAAATAACGTATAGGCATTAAATAAGATGAAATAGAAGAACAGTCAAAAACATGGAAAGTTGTTCATAATATAGTGTTCAAAAAAGGTAAGTTAACCAAATGGTATTTAAGATTTAATACTATATTTGGTTAAAATACATGTCTCTCTTTCTCTCTATATGTAGATATCTATATATATACATACACACACACACATACATACATATATATCCATAGAAAATGCTGTACACTATATAATTCATATGTTTATCATGCTTATCTCTGACTAATGGGATTGTAGGTAGTTTTTCTTTGTTTTCTCTTGCCTTAAACAGTTTTCTACATTGGACATGTTCTATTTTTGTAATCTGCAAAAAGTTGAAAATTTAAAAAGGAAAAAAGAACAAGAGAGACCAAGCCAACTCCCTACACAAATAAGCTATAAGATACATATATTGCTTTCGAGGTGTGCCCTTAGTGAAGGTAATCAACTCTAAGATTCAGGGCATGTCTGTAAAATGGGTATAATAATTGCATTTATACCTGTTATCGGGATCAAATTAAATATTCCATATTCAGTGCTTAGCACAGTGTCTGACACACCATAAACATTTCACAAATATTAGCCTTTGCATTGCTCTGGGACACTGGCCAAGACTCGTAGGTTACCAGCACTGACTTAATTGCTCCTGTCTTATTTTCACCTTGGGTATCTACTGACCTAGTTATTGCTTCTTTCTTTAAGGAGTAACTAGAACACTGCTGGGGATGAGTTGACAAATAACTCAGGTATTCACCCATTCAGTCCTCTGAAAGGTCTCATTTGATCAGGGACACTCTCGTCCGATCTGTATCACTTTGAGAACTAGGTCTTAGAATTGTTTTTCGGATACATGAAATTCCACTGATTCTGAGGGCCACAAGGACAGACTTGTGAGTGTCCCTCAGAAGAGCACTGAGGCCCGGGTTCCGCACCACTCTGTATAACCGTTTGAGACCTAGACACACAGGTGGAAAGTAGGAGATAGCAGATTTGCTTTCTTTATCGAATTTTCTTCCTACAACTCACTATAGATGCACAGTTGGGTTTTAGTTTCATTTTTTCCATTCCATCTCCTCTTTCCCTGACTTCCACTTTCCTTGTTTTCTGTTTCTATCTGCACTCTTTTTAAAAATTTTCATTTCCAGAGCTGCTTCTGTACTGTATTCTACTTGCACCAACTCACCCCCCCTCCTTTCTCCCTCCTTCCTTCCCTTTCTCTCTCTTCCTCTGCGCCTCTCTTGAGACAGGTCTAGTGGCCTGGTTGCCATCTGCTGCCTTTTTTTTTATGAGGTTGAGATCAGATGGCATCTAATCGATCGTCATAGTCTCCATGGTTACCAGGGTGACAGAGTACTTGGGAGAGACACATTCTCAAGCCTGGGGCTGTCAGACCATTCCTGAGAGGGGGAAAGGAAATAAAACCTCTTCCATCATATTTACACATTTACATCTTTCTCAAATGCAGCAAAATACAGACCCTGTTTGTGTTTTACATAGCTAACTAGTGGCTTGGGGACAGGAAACGCAGGGTAGCTTTCTTCTATTTAAAAAAAAATGCACGAGGACAAAAGTAAAGGGGTTTTGTTGGCTGTTTTTCTTTTTTAACCTCAGAACCATACTCCCTCCAACCCCATAAAGACTATCACCTTCTTTCTTTCTCTTTTGAATGTTTGGGAATTTAGTAATTCTAATGAGTTGTTATTCTTCCAATAAATCACAATGTAGTTCTAAAACGAACAATTGATGATTATTTGCTTTAGGAAAAGAAATAACCTGCATAAAATTACCGACACTTTAACCTCCTCAACGGTAATGTTAATCTTAGTTGTTTTTTGATCGAGAATTGTTTGTAAAGCAGAAAGACATTTTTTTTCTATGAAGAGCAGCCACATAGGATAAAATGTAAACAAAATGACTCTTATTCTTAATGCGAAAAGTGCCTGGGCACAACTGTGGTCTGTAACACTTTCATGCCTAGGGGCTGGCCAATCAGGCAGAGATATATCTGGGCCTTATTATAATAGAATATGATGGCGCTGACAGCCCAGGTCTGGTTGAAAGAGACACGAGGAAGAGCTTGGTACTAAGGCTATATAACTAACGAAAAGAAAGCTAGATTGGTGTGTGTGAGAGGGGGTAACTCAGAGGTAAGAAAACCACCAATCATCATCATACCATTACATAATGCTAAAACTGCAAAGGGAGTACTGTCCTTGACTTACACACCTTGAATATCAGGCACAGATGACTTGGGATATAAGCTGCTTTACTCCCTTTCCTGGTAATGTGCTATGTTTCATAACACTTCGGAGAAATTCTGCTCTTTTTTTTTGTCTTCATCAGAGAAAACCAAACTTAAAATTATGGCACAGGCACAAGGCCTATCTATAAGCAATTTGTTTGATTTAAAGAAAACATGTAATGCCAAGGCCGTGAACAGTGCCTGCCTGCCTGCCTGCCTTCCTTCCTTCCTTCCTTCCTTCCTTCCTTCCTTCCTTCCTCTCTGATTTCCTTTCAGACCTCTTGCATCTCCTGTACAGTATCTTAGTAAGATTCAGATATATTCATCTGCAGTGCCTTTGGCTGTTAAGCAAATAGCACACTGATATTTGAAATAGAAATGATGCCATCAATTGGAGAAGAGACTTTAATATAAAAGGAAAATAATTTATCATGAACACGGACCCTCTTATTCACTTCACATCTCTGCATCTTTGCTAATGCCTGCCTCTCTTCTCTCTGCAATTCCTCCTACTCTCTCTTACTCTCTTTTGATAATATGGAACATTGAATGGCCAGGGAACTGTTTTTATTTAAGTCCACCTCCCCAGAAAAGCTTTCCCCAAACTCTCCATAACACAGAGCTCTGAACTCCCAGTGCTCTTTTGGTCTATGCTTCTCATTCAGGACTTAGCCCATCTGCCTCATACCCTAGCTTATGTATTATGTATATCTCTTGCCTCTCATTTAAATTGTAAGCTCCAGATGGGAGAGACTGTTTCCTCTACTTCTGGGCTCTTCCCTTTTTTCATCCATAGTTATCCCTCACTAAATGTTTGGTAAAGATAATAGCAGCCTGTTGTGCCTACAAAGGCAATAGCTGGTTTTCCTTTTTAAGCCCAGAAACCAAATTTGGTTCTCAGCATTTCTTCCACGGCAGGGATTTTGCTTTGTGTCAGCCAAGAGGCTTTCCTTACCTCCGTGTCTTCTATACACTCGTGCACAAGCACGCTTCTCAGAGAAGGTGGGTTCTACCTTGGAATGAAATGAGTCGTTTCCTTCCATCAGGACAACTGCCACAGCATGGTGTCAACTCACTCTTGCCTTCTGTAAATTGAGTTTGTCAGTGCTCAGCCACACAGCTGAGTGAAATGTTGTGTGATGCGGGCTGTCTCCTGGGAGAGAGAAACTGGCATAAACCACATCCTAATGGGATCCAGAAACAAAGAAGCGTGAATGAAGTGTTAATTGCATTCATAAAGACATTAACAAAGGAATTAAAATGGTAGAAGCTTCAGTCCCCCACTCAAGATTCACAGAAAAACATGTTACCCAAAGAGTGCTTTAACAATAATCATCAAAGTTTATTGCTTGCCCACTGCAGAGATAACTCTCAATAAATATTAACTTTTCAAAGAACAAACACTTTGTGTCCATTATCTTGAGTGTATTAACTAACGGTTTAATCCATCCTGCCTCCAGTTCTTTTCTGGCTTTTGTATGATTTAAGTTTCCAAAGAACCAAGAGGCGTTTTCAATGCTGCTTCATTAACCATAAGGATGTCTGTTAATGGTTTGAACCTAATCAATCCTACAGTTCTTAGTAGAGCAAAATGCTCATTATCTGGGAGATTTTTTGCTTTTGGAAATAAAATTATAAAACTGGGGCTTATTTTACAGTCCCTCTTGAATATTCCTGAGATAATCTGCAATGTGGGCAACCTGGGGCTCCCTCCCCAGCCCTTTGGTAGGGCCCCCAGCTGCTGACAGCAGGGCTAAGCTGGCAAAAGGTCAGGAGGCTGCATTTGACTGAAGATGGATCACATAGATGAATATTGCGCCTGCTTAATGAAGTCAAGGCCACGGATTTGCTGCCTTTTATGGTTCTTCTTGTTTCACTCAATTTCACCTTCATAGACCATACTACTAATCCAAACCAATCATTTTGTATATATATGCAACTGGTGACTAAGGGATTAGATAAAAGTAAATGAATTTCATCTAGAAGACAGTGACTGGAAATCTCTATGCCTATAATGGAATCAGAACTAAAATATGTGTTCACATCGAGGGTCTCGTGTAATCCTTGCAGCAACTCTGTGAGATATATGGAGCATAATACATTCTTACTCTCATTCAGCAGATAAGAAAGCTAAAACTGAAAGACATTAAGTCCCAGGATTAGAATTCAGGTATTTTTGATCATCTGACTGCTCTTTCTACCACAGTAGTCTAACTCTCTTGGGATCTCATTTGAGTCTCTCAAGAATTCGATGAGTAAGACAGGCTGTATAATAAACAAGCGGGCCTATTTTTCTGTAGGGGCCACATTAATACAATCAGAGGAGCAGGTGCTCTCAAAACCATTCCTAGAATTTGGCTGAACCCCCTTGTTACCTAAAAAGCCATATTTTTCAGTTTTGTCTAAATCGATCATATTCATGGATGTGGCATCAACCCAGTGGTGGCAGATTTAAAAGTGACAAAATTCTAGGCAGTTGTATGTATCCAGGCTGATCAACATAGACTGGTAAGTGGATGAAGACTGAGAAGTGCACACTCAGCATCTCAGAAAAGCTCACAGTCCAGTCATGGGAATCAGACAGATTGAGTCACCAGTTGATTTTATTTCTGTTGCAGACAGGGGAACATATCCTCCCAGACTTGGATTATACTAAATTTAAAGATATCACAAAACTTAAAATAAAAATTTCTGGATTAAACACTGTTTTGTATTAGTTTTGCTTAGTCTCATATATGTTACCCTACACTTGAGATGATTGCCTTTATTTCTCATTAGAATATATCATTTACAGTACTTGAGCCCAGAATTTTCAAATAATGACAAATTTAGTTCCAGTGTAGACATGCCACCTAGCTGTTCAGAAGTCTGATCCAAAATAGCCCTTTTGAATTAATTAGCTAGAAATTATTAATATTATTATTTGTACTTTATATTTTTATCATTTTTTTAATCCTGATTAGAAGGTCCTATTATACCTTTATGTTGCTCCTAAGATGGAAGACGGGTAAATTTCAACCTTACTTATCTGTGGCTAGGTGTGGCACACAAAGATGCACAATAAATGGGAAAAAATCAAAGTGAGCAGTTGGTTGGTTACATATTCAATCTAGGCAATTGAGGTTAAAGCCTTACTTTTTCATCAGTAGCAGAAGTGTTGAATATTCATCCATTCTATTTATGTCAAAATTAAGAGAATTGGTTCATGCTCCTAAGTCTTAGTTGTGGCAATACCATAGGGTGATCATTTATTCATTCTTATTTATGGAAATCCCAATGAATGAAGTTATTTTCTAGCGCTGTACTGTCCATTATGGTAACTGTTAGACATATGTGGCTATTTAAATGAAAATTATGTGATTAAAATTAAATAAAATTAAAAATCTAATTCCATATTTTAACTCTCCAATAATCACATGTGGTTAGGGCTACTGTACTGGACAATATAGATTTATAGACATTTTTATTACTGAAGAATGTTCTATTGGACAGCACTGTCCTAGAGCAAAAGATTGGAATTCATAAATGCCACAAAAATACGCCCTATATGTAATCATATCGTTATTTGTGAAACACTATGGTGACATGTGCACCAGCCTTCAGGGGCCTGGGCGTCGAGGAGGGGCGGCCTGCAGCCCTCTTTCTCAGAGTCTGAACCGGCCCTGTGTGCCATGGGAGAGGATAAGCCAACTCTCTGGAGAAAGGGCAGGTGCGGATGAGCCATTTCCATTTTCCACTCCTGCAACTCCCAGAACCTCGCGTCCAGACCTGCCGCCAAGACATGCTTGTGCAGACGCCCAAACCGAAGCGCATTTTGGATTAATTTTCTGGCCGTTATTTCTTTGCAAAATCTATCTTGGGCCTTTGATTAAGGACTTTCTTTTTGCCATGAATTTCAATGAATTTGAACCTAGTGATGCTTTCCACCAGCCAGGACTTTTAGCATAGGCACGGACCAAAAGAAATAAGGCTTCAGACAAGCAAGAATTATAACAGAGACTGAAAAATACAATCCAGAACTCCCGGACTGAACATTTTAAGTGAATGCCATTAGCTCATCATAATGGACAGCCAGCAAGTCAACATGTCCATAGAATAAAGAAAGGTCTCTCCCTAAGATGGAAAAGGTGGAAACATTCTTCAATGTGTTTGTCGCATTAGCCATTTTAAACTTGTAAAAAGTAAAAATTTACTACTCACATCCTGTTCTCCAATGTATCTCACTAGGACTATCTCTGCTATATTAAGGCAGGATATTTAGTAAGAATGCTCAAAGTCATCTGCTGTAAGCGCATGAGATACACAACTCTCATTGCTTTTATCACATAGTCCTCAAAGTGGGCTTATTGGGCACATGTTTTATTCCCTTAGTAGACTGTAAGTTGCTTGAAACTGCTAATTATATATATTTGCACCCCACAAATACCTGATATAGTCGGAGGTGCTCAGCACTTTGATTCAACTTTATCAACAAATACTTACTGAATACATTAATGAATGAAAAGAAGATCCCTGGTAACAAATTAGCCTGAATTATGGGAGCTTTTAGCTGATAGCTATAGAAAAGGGGGGAGGGAGAAAAAGGTACAAAATTTGAGAACATGGATTGTGAGCTGATTGAAAAGGGTATCATTTCAAAGTTTCCTTTGAATCTCCATAGGGACTCGATGAGAGACAAAACAGTTTCAAAGGCAACTGTGTATTTCAATTAGTGTAGCAAAGGTTCAGAGAAGATGTGCATCTAATCTATTGTCTTCTCTACAGAATTTCCTTGCTGACATTCTTCCTGAATATACGGAACTCAAAAGTATTGTATTAATTTGTGTTGTATAGTCTTGTATTGGTAGCTGAATGGCATGATAATGGAGTTGACATTGAAAATAATGAACACAGTTGAACTCAAGCCCAAACACTTTTACAAACTTGAATGAAAATGAATCCTAAAACTAAAGTGACCACAGAAAAATCTTATAATCTATCCCCATACTTCAAATTATCTCTAATAAACCAGGATCCAACCCAATCTTCAGCATTTCCAAGAAAAGAGAATCATAGGGGTATGTTACAGACATAACATAAAAGGAAGTTTAAAAAAATGTTTGCAACCTCTTTTGTGTTTTAACAATACTGGTCACCAACTTAAACAAGTTTTCTGATATAACTTTCTAAGTCATATATCTTTAAATCACCATGACTCATATTTGTCTCTGTTCCAACTGTTTTCTGGTGTCTCTCTTGCCGAAATGGTTTCAATTAGAGCCTGGAAAGGGTTGATACGAAACTCTTGCACTGTGCTTGCCAACATGGGAATTGGTTTTAAGCATTGCTGTTTTTCATCCAAAAAAAAAAAAAATTCTCTCTTCCCACCCTGGAGTTAGAAGAGATTATTCTCAGACAGGCATTTAGCTGATTTTTAATGTCAAAGAAACTTAATTTGCAAACTCGTTAGAAACTCTTTAGTAAAAGCGGCCTAGTAAAACAGATGATTAATATTGGTAAGCTCCTCATTTACATATTAATTAGTCTCCATACTCAACTAATTAAAACTGCACTGCCTGTTTGAGGACTTTCTTCTAGACTGCTGGCCTTGTTTCTATGTACAAGCGTGTATTTTAACTAAAATAAGGGTTAGTGATTGTGTCTGTACTTTTCTTAATGTATTAATTTTGCCATCTGTGACACTTAGGACTCCTGGGAGGTCCTAGAACCATCTCTAAGCAGCCATTTCATTGGTCCAAATTATTAATACTTTTGTCCCGGTAGTTATGCGTTGCTTAACAACAGGGATACAGTCTCAGAAATACATTGTTAGGAAATTTCATCATTGTGTGAACATCATAAGAATGTATAATACTTACACAAAACTACACAAAATTATAGTTCACACCTACATTATATATGATATGACCTATTGCTCCTAGGCTACAAATCAGTATAGCATGTTACTGTACTGAATACTATAGGCAATTGTAACATTATGGTGGTAAGTGTTTGTGTATCTAAACAATCTAAATACAGAAAAGGTACAGTAAAATTACAGTTATATAACCTTATGAGACCACATCATTTATGCAGCCCGTCCATGACTGAGGCATTGTTATGTGGAGCATGACTGTATCTTTGGGTTTTGATGCAAAGAAAATAGTTGGATGACTCAGTGACTGGTAATAATTAAAGTAGGAAAGGTACCAATTTGTATCTCAATATTTGTTTTCTTTAAGTCTTGCTGTATAAATGAATGTATCTTTTCAGTATAACTTTTTTTTTTGTTTTTGTTTTATTTTTTTTTTATTCCTTTATTTTTTTTCCATTTTCAGTTGGCCAATTAACTTTTTTTTTTTTTTTAATTTTTAGTAGAGACGGGGTCTCGCTCTTGCTCAGGCTGGTCTTGAACTTCTGAGCTCAAACGATCCACCCACCTCGGCCTCCCAGAGAACTAGGATTACAGGCGTGAGCCACCCCGCCCGGCCCAGTATAACTTTTTATATTTAAACTTAACTACTTTTTAATTATTTAATAATTATATTACTTTTTAATTTTTAGGAGAGATTTACTGGGTGAGAAAATAGGCTAATTTGATTTGAAAAATCAGGCCTGCAGAAAGTCTAGCTGTTTGGACCACAGGACTCTTGCTCTTATTGGTGAGAATGAATTTCTACTGTTGGCAAAACAAAATCAACTAAACAAACAAGCAAACAAAACTCAAAAATATCAATGAAAAGAAACAACCTTTAAGTACAGATTCCTCAAAGGAGATCCAGGAGAAATTATAATAGTTCCAATAATTGAGTGACATTGACCAAACTGCTGAATTTCTCTTTCATCTACACCAGCTGAAAATAAATATGCACTGAGTATCTGCATCAGGCATTTTCCTATGACACCTTCTCCTCAAATTGAGTTAGGTGCCACTGTTAGGTTCCTCCATAGAAACCAGTATTTACCCTTCTGATAGCCTGTATCTCATAATATCACAATCATATCTTCATTAGTTCACATTCCTTAGTGGATGCTTCTCCATAAGGGATATGGACCTTGGATGCAGGCTCTGTCTGGTCCCTTATTATAGCCCCCACTGCTTATCACAGTGCCTGTCAGGTAGTAGGTGCCAGTTAAATAATTGCTGAATAAATGAATGAATAAACAGATATATTAAAAATATTCTAGATTAACACATTAATCTATATTAATACACAGATAAATTACAAATAAGATATGTGTTTAATTATCTACTACTTTGTCCGATGTATGCTTGTCAAAAAAGTAAAAAAAAATAATGAAAAAAATTAAAAAAATATTATCTACTACTGCATAATAAAAAGCCCCAAAATTTAGAGACTAAAAGCAGTAATTTACTAATTCTTATGATTCTGTGAGTTGGCTGGACAGCTCTTCTGCTGTTTCACCTGGGCTCACTCGTGGTGCCGCACTTGGCTGCAGGTCTCAGAGGTTTGGGCCCAGTCGAGACAGCTGGGCGTCTAGTCCTTTCTCTCCATGTCTTCCATTCTCAAGTCAGCTCCCTGGACTTCCTAACATGGTGGTAGCGAAGTTCCAATGTGCAAACGCTTACTGAACTGACGTCAAGTTTGCTGACATCTCACTGGCCAAAGCAAATTATGTGGGCAAGCCTAGAACAAATGTGGGAGGAGATTACACAAGGGCGTGAATACTGTACTGGAGAGACCCTGAGTGTAATAACCCGCTACAACATGTCTCTACCTTAAGGACGTTCCTAATCGAGGCAGATAAGTGAGTATACCACTAACCCAATGTAATAAAAGTTACACGAGAGATTCCAACAAACTGTTTAGGATATAAGCATCATCAGCATTAGAGCCAGGAGACCTTCATTTAAATCTCTCCTCTTTTATTAACTACCATATGATCTTGGGTAAATTATTTAACCCTCAAAATATTGGCTTTATAATTGTAAAAATGGATATTGGCCTACTTGACATTTGTTGCAACCTCCTTCTAATATGACTTCCTGTTCTGCAGAGGCTTAAAAAGCTAAAGCCTGTAATTACCAAACTCCCTTGCAGCTAAGGCTATTGATGTGACTTAGCTTCTACCAAGTAGACGTGCACTATGAGAACTGACTTTAATTTAAGGGAAAAGTATTGTTTGCATTGTTAAAATACACAGAAGTAACATAAGTACTTACGGCACTCCCCTCACAGCTGATTCTGCCCATAAGTGTGCTGTGACACCATGACTGAGAACCACTAATACAGAGACTAATGAGCACGAATAGAGGAAATGAATGAAGTGGTACATGTATGTGAGAAATCTGTGGTATGGACATACATTCTTCTTTTTCTCAAACTGATGTGGGGACCGTAACCACCTTTTTTTATTTTCATCCCAGAGCTATAGAGTTTCTGATCCTGTTTCTATCAGGGTGGCAGTGATTATGAAAAGCCACCTTATATATTTCTGTTTCAAACATAATTTTTAATGTTATGTACATAGGAGTTTAAAATTCGTTGTCTTAGCCGGGCGCGGTGGCTCACGCCTGTAATCCTAGCTCTCTGGGAGGCCGAGGCGGGCGGATTGCTCGAGGTCAGGAGTTCGAAACCAGCCTGAGCAAGAGCGAGACCCCGTCTCTACTATAAATAGAAAGAAATTAATTGGCCAACTAATATATATACAAAAAATTAGCCGGGCATGGTGGCGAATGCCTGTAGTCCCAGCTACTCGGGAGGCTGAGGCAGGAGGATTGCTTGAGCCCAGGAGTTTGAGGTTGCTGTGAGCTAGGCTGACGCCATAGCCTGACGCCACGGCACTCACTCTAGCCTGGGCAACAAAGCGAGACTCTGTCTCAAAAAAAAAAAAAAAAAAAATTCGTTGTCTTTCTGGAAAAATGTATGGCCATTTTAAAATATGAACTAGATGCCTGCTAGAATTAATAAAAAAGAAATTATTAATTGAAGCAATTAATTATTAAACACTTAACAGCCAAATATAGTACCTGTGGGCAGAGAGGCCCTTTCCTTTGAGGAGGTAAAAACTAATTGCAAAAGCAGAGTTGCTGAGAAGTCACACTGGGAAGCATGGAGTGCACGTAGCAGTTGTCATTTTCTGTTGGCTGAGCCACATTAAAAAGAAAGATGGAGATCTAAGAAAAAAAATTTTAAACTCTTTGAGAAATTTATTCAATAACCAAGCATGAAAAGAGATAGGTGATAATGAGAGCCAGAAAGAAATGTGATAAGGGGATGTTTAATCTGGGTTTCAGAAGCTCAGTGAGTCTTGATGCTTTCAATCCCTGAAAGAGCACAGGTCTGGCACACAGTAGGTGCTCAAAAATAATTAAAATAACCAGCTAATGAAAGAATGAATAGATCCCTTTTAACCCTAAGTTTGAGAAAAGAGGAAATTTGATATTTGTAAGTATTGTTGAAAATAGTACCTGTTGTAGACTGAATGTTTGTGTCCCCCCAAAATTCAGATGTTGAAACTCTAGTCCCCAATGTGATGGTATTTGGAGATGGGGCCTTTGGGAGGTAATTAGGATTAGATGAGGTTATGAGGGTGGGGCCCTGGTCCAACAGAATTAGTGTCATTATTAGAAGAGACCTAAGAGAGTTCGCTCTCTCTCTCATGCTCTACACACACAAACCAAGGAAAAGCCATGCGAGGACATAGCAAGAAGGCAGCCGTCTGTAAGCCAGGTAGAGAGCCCTTTCCAGGAATTTAATGGGCTTCAATTCCTTGATCTTGCACTTCCCAGTCTCCAGAACTGTGAGAAATCAATTCTGTTTATTTAAGCCACTCTGTCTGTGGTATTTTGTTATAGTATTCCAAACAGACTGAGATGGTACCTACACCTAAGTCCTTTCATATCTTTAAAGCTTACTCTACTTGGGTATACATGTAATTATAGAACACTACATAAATTATACATGCTAACTAAATTTATATATAACTATTGGTCATTTTAATTTTTTTAAAATAGTTATCTTTGAATGTAAAATAACTTCCTAAGTGAATGAAAACTGTGCTATTTTCTATGACTCAGAGGACCACATCTAAGGAGAAGCTAGTCTCTAAATCACAGGGCCGTAACCAGGGCCCCTCAGTCAACGTGGTGTTGTAATAACCTGTAATCAGCATGACAAGGGAGAAATTCAGGTCTCTACAGCATAGGTGAGGCATAAACCCATACTTCATAGCTCATTTTCTCTTTTCTCTTTCTTTCTTCCTTAGGACACACAATAGATAGAAGAGTAATCAGAGGCTGGGTGGCCACAAGCTGGGGTGTGCTGGCTGCACCATGGGGCTGCTATAATGAGGGCGTTTAGTGGAGGTTCAGAGCACGGGGGGCCTGTTAGGTTCCTCATGACAGTGGGGAATAGGCAAAAAGCAGAGCTCTGGAATAGGTCAGGGCCCATGAGCCCAACTACTTAAAGCGAGTGTATCAGTTAGAGTGTATTCAGCTTTAAGCAACAACTATAGCAATACATTTAAAAGTGACCTAAATTTTAACAACCTAAATCATGGGACAGTCTGGAGGACCTCCATTTGTTCCTGCTCATTTTCTGGCCCTGATTCTCCAAGGCTTCCCAGCGAGTCAGTGAGCTACCCGTTATCTCTTTTTTCTGCTTATATCAGCAAGAATCAATTTCTGTGGTTTGTAGCTAAGAAGTCTAACTGATAACATGGCTGTTCACACTTGATCTTAGCCAAAAGGCCGAGAAGCAATACATGGCTATTGAATTGATTCCTTGAAAATGAGGTTTCCTTTCTTTTTGTTTTTGTTGTTATCTTTGGTGTTTTAAATGGGTTTGAAAAGATGGCCAGAGAACAAATATAACTTTACTAGAATGTAGACAGTCCTTACCAAGTCTCTGCTGAGTTTATTTTAATGTCCTCCTGTTGGTAAAAATCAGGCCACACAAGTATTGAAAAATATCCTGGGCAAGGGGCATAGCTGTTCACAAATATCATTTATTGAATGCTTAATATGAGCCAGGTACTAAGAAAAGTACTTTAACATGGATTTAATTTTCACTGTGTTATTCATGTTTTATAGATGAGGAAGCTGGTGTGAAGATGAGTCACACAGGATGCAAACACCAAATGACCCAGTGCTATCTAATTGCAAAGGCTTGGGATCTTTCCAGTGTACCAGGGCATTATTTTCATTCACTGATGCTATCAGAAATTAAAGCAATAGATTGTACCCCACAAAGTCACCATAATACAGCTCAGCCATAGTTGAAGTTGATAACAAAAGCATCTATCTTGGATACTATCCAAAGGATTTTGTTCTGGAAGGACCATAAAAACATCGATCACTTTTTAATGTAGCGTAAGGTCAGTGGCACAAACACTGAGGTTACCTTTAAAGCGTGGTTCCAGTGTACTCATTTTAACTGAGCTGCATCTGCCTTCCTTCCACTGGCCATGTTTATCATGCCGGCCCACCCACAGGCCCCTCTAAGAGACATTTCCCACCTCAGTCCAGTCCCTGTAGCTGAAGCAGACGTTTCATGCTAATTGCCACAGCTGAGCGAGGATGACTTGTCTGAAGGCTATCAATTTATAGACTGGCCTGTGGCTTATGCAGCCTGTCTCAGAAAGATGGGCCACTCAGACAGCTCTTATCCAAACTAGGAATTGGAAAACTGAGAAACACAGGGAGTTAGCAGCGGTAGAGCTGAAGGGAAAGGGATGCTGTGATGTCAAACTGATTCAAAAAATCACATGAAAGCTAATGTTAGGAGGAGATAATAAAATAGGGGATGGGGAAGCCTATTGGTGAAGAGAAGAGGGTAGAAGAGATGAGCAGAGAGAAAGAGAGTGAGAGAGAGAGAAAGAAGAAAAGAGAAGAGAAGAGGAGAGGAGAGGAGAGGGAGAGAGAGAGGGAGAGGAAGGAAGAGGAGAGGAGAGGAGAGAGAGAGAGGAGAGGAGAGGAGAGAGAGGAGAAGAGAAGAGAAAGAAAGGAAGAGAAGAGAAGAGAAGAGAAGAGAAGAGAAGAGAAGAGAAGAGAAGAGAAGAGAAAGGAGAGGGAGAGGAAGGAAACAGAGATGCTAAGAGAGAAACCTTGCCCTGGAGCTTCCTGGATTTTCTCAATTTCCCAGGAAACTTTGATGGATCTCTGTTTCTTACAACCACACCATCCTGGTTGAAACTCTCTTTCTCATCAACCTTTAAAAAAGGAAACTTGTGAACTAATGTGTCTTTCATCTTTTAATTTTTCCTCCTGAGACCTAACTAATCCAAAAGGCTAGAGGCTAAGAAAAAAGTTAAATAGAAAGCAAAAAGTTTAAATAATCCAAACATAAAAACCAGACCCTTAAGGGTAATTGATTATTTTGTGCTAAGACCTGGGCTTTTATAACCCCTCTGCTCCCCTCTGTGGATAAGGACAGAATTGAGAGTTATTTTTCATTCTATAAAGTCTGAAAGCAGAAGTAAAATATAATCCTTTTTTCTTTTTCTATGCCTTTTTTTTATGACTACAAACTAAAAATATTAGCGCACTTCCCTATAAAAAAATTTTTTTTTCTGATTCAACAACCTCCCCAACTTAAGTCTAAGGTGTTCTAAACATACCTGGACCTTACCTCTAAAATGCCAGTCAGATGGTTTGGGGAGGAGTGGGCGGGGGGTCAGAGTGAGCAGTCATTTTGCTGTAGGTTAGCGAAAAGAATAATACCTTCCTCCTCCACATGAATCAGCTTAGACCAGAGCAGCACTGGCTAGCAATGTGACAAAGAGAGGAAGACCCTCTCTCCCTTTGTGACCCAATAGTGATGACTTGTAACAGAGACTCTAAAGATAGTTTCATCTTCACTGCTTGGCTTTCAAAGCTCCTTCTACCAACCTGCAGAGAAGGGTCTCCTGGGCTCCTCCCTGTTTTTATCTCCTCCTAGCTGCTATTGTTTTACCGTTCCCAGCAGAGCACAGAACACAGGGCAGTAAAGAATGAACTGTGCTGGCCACAGTTGCCCAATTTGTAATGCTGGCACTTTGGGAGGCTGAGGCAGGAGGATCACTTGAGGCCAGGAGTTTGAGAATAGCCTGAGCAACACAGTGAGACCTTCATCTCCATTAAAAAAAGAGAGAGAGAGAGAGAATGAACTGTGTAATGCTTATGCCCCTGGACTCTAGAGACAAAGCTCCAGGGTTCAAATCTTGCCTCTGCCACTTATATGTAGATCGATCTCTCTGAACCTCAGTTTCTACATCTGTTAAATGTGGATGATATATTTGGTCCCTACCTCTAGTACTAAGTGAGTTGCTATTTGTCAAGGGTCGAGGATAGTGCCTGGCCTAGTACATAGTGCACCATAGTAAGTGTTTGCTAAATTAAATCAATAAGTAAACCTGTTCCAAGGAAATTCCTCCACAAAAGACCAGTCAGGCTGCTAGAATAGCATTTCCCTTGAAAAGAACTGAATAGTGCTTCTTGTTACAGTGATTTTTTTTCCTTGCAGGAAATTTCCATTTTCTAATTAATCTCTACAAGGCCCCTGAATATTCCAAGTAGGAGCGTGTTTCAAATTATAACTTGCTTTTAGAAAAAAGGAAAATTAAATATAGGAATATACCATTTAAGTATAGGTTAATTAACTGGCAATTAGAGCATGGAAATCAGTAAAAACAAAAAATGAAAGACTTTGAGTCTTTGAGTAGTTGTGCCAAGAGACCTGGGCTGAATCCCAGCACTGCAACCTTTTAACTGTTTCACCTTCAGCAAGGCCCTCACCCTTCCTGAGCTTCGCTGTCTGCAAAATGGGGACACTTATACTCGTCTCACAAGGACTTCCTAAGGATGATGTAAGATAACATGTTTTAAATACATGCACACATATTTTATTAATTTAACTTAGGCCCTGATTATTACTATATAAAACAGGAAAAACAAGCACCTTGGTAACATACAATATCCTCTCCAAATCTTTAAAGAATCAAACTTTTAAAAACACACATAATGCCTGTAGTCCCAGCTACCCCCCCAAAAAAAAAATAAATTAAAAAAAAAAAACACACATAAAAGATATTTAAATCATAAAACACAAACACAAATTTTAATCACCTTCAGGAACCATGATCCAATAATATATTTAATAGGGAAGATTTCATTCATCAATAGACAAAAAAAAAAAAACCCACAAAAAACCCCTAAAACCAAACTTTGATTAAGACATGTGCCCTGAGCAAGAGCACTTAATGACTCAACAGACTTTTGAATTTAAATTTGAAATTCATTTCCTCCAAGCTCATACACAGAGTCCTTCAGAGTTTGGCTTGGGACTTAATGACTTCCTCTTTAGGCACAATTCTTTTTTCTTTCCAGAAAGTCCCCAGAGTCTATTCCATCCAAACACTGTTGAGGCAGGAGACAGATCTGTGGGACTGGACTGCTGAGTGTGGACTTAGGCACAATGGTACCAAGCTGGGTCATCTGATTTCCCAGTGGTGACCAGCCAAGGTGGTGGGCAGTTCAAGGACACTGCAAGGGGGAAACACTGACAAGTGATAAAAGAGACCGGGCTAAAAGAGACAATACTTACATTAAAAAGGAGAAAATATGAAATTTTATAAAAATAAAGATAAAGACAACTCTGAAGTTTACTAGTGTGGGGAAAAAATAGCCCTACAGACCTAAGTCACTTCTGAAGGACTCACTAGAGCACAGTGATGATTGACACTCATGTGGCCCAGAGCCTGTTGTGCATGAAGAGTATCTCTGAAAGATCTTGGTAGGGTGTAATGTGCCTGCACCCCCTGGGGAAAGGGGCTTGGAGGAGGCAGTCACCGGGATTCTCCCGTTATTTGAAAATGAACCTCAATTAAGACTAGGAGAGAAAAAGGCTGCTTGAGGTCCCAGCTCCTCACTACAGGAGCCAGCTTAATCTAACTTAATCTCTTCTGTCTAAAATAAATACCTTCTAGCATAGCATTGCTGTGAGACTACTTGTGTTAACATGCATGAGGCGCTGTGAAGACTGCTTGGCACACTGCAATAAGTTGACCAATGCTAGCTATCGTTAAATGTATCTCTCACATGTGTTTATCCTCCTGTCCTTCTGGTAATGGATGATTGGGTTGTCTCAAGTCTACTTACCATGAACAATGCTTGTTTAACATACATTTGTTCAGTGCCTAATATATGCTGGGCAATGTTTCTTAGAGTCCCATGCAAGAGTTTACTAGAGGTATACACCCAGGAATGGGTGTCTTGCCCAATTTCACCAAAGACTAGCTACCTCCTGACACATTTACACATGTGCTGGCAGTTCTTGTTTACCAAGCTTTTGTCAACACTCAATAATATGAAACTTTTAAATTTTTGCCAATCTGATTGGTATCTTAATTTTCAGTTCTGTTGAGAGTGAGATTAAGCATCCCTTCACATACTTGCTAGCTATTCTGATGTCCTCTTCTAAGAATTGCCTGTATATAGGGTTTATTTTTCCCATTTTCCTTTTGGATTTTCTCTCTTTTTATTGTAGTTGTTTTAAAGTTTTTTTAAAAAGTTGTATATTTTAGATAGGTAGCACTTGCTAGTTAGTGTTGGATATTAGACCTATCGCCCCCAATTTATCACCTTTTTATTGTCTTTGTTTAGATTTTCTTTATTGAACAACTTATTGCTGTTTTCTAGGCAGTCTTCTCAGTGCTTCATGTATGTTAATGCAATTGTCCTAACAACAATACAATAAGGCATTTGTTTTAGACAGAAGAGATTAAACTAGATTAAGCTGGGTCCTTAGTGAGGAGCTGGGACCTCATGCACCAAAGGTACCAAACTCAGCTCAACTCCTGACTAGATTGGCTTAACTCTCCATTTCGATAGCCTGTCAGAAAAAGACACATACCTATCTCTGGACACAAATGTTATTTCTTTCAGTCTCAACTATTCTTCTACATGCAATATCTAGCATTCAATCAAAAATTATAGGACACACACAAAAAAAATCAAGGGGAAAAAAAACACTGTCAAGACATAAAGCAATCAAAGACCTGATTCAGAGATGACCCAGATGTTCAAACTATCCGACAAGGACTTTAAATAACTATGAGAAATAGGTTAAAGTATCTCATGGAAAAGGAAAACAAGAAGCATTGAGGAATTTCAGCAGAGAGATGGAAACCATAATAAAGAGTCAAAAATGACACACTCTTTTCTTTCTTCTGGCTGTTTCTCTAAATCACTAAGATGTTTGCTTATTTTTTATTTTTCTGTCTTGATTTTTTGTTGTTGTTGTTTGGTTGTTTGTTTTGATAGTTTGGCTAGTCCATCAGTCTCTTTCACTTCTTTGGCTTCCCTAGGACTAAGATTGGGGGCAGGAATAAAGTTTACCACCTCATCAGGAATAGGAAGCCTTGTCTCTCATGCCTCAACTGTGACCTCTAAGCTGTGAATGCTTTGAGGGAATTGGCCTTTGGTGAAAATGTCAAGAAATTCACCGAAGGACTTAATTAAGTGGAGGATCTACATGGTTTTATTAAAAGGGTTATTTTGTTTTGTGTTTCAGTAGAATACTTTATTCTCTGATAGTGCCATAAAGTGAAATATTGCCTAAGTCTACTATAATATTATTATCAAGCAGTCAGATTAGAAAACAAGACAAAATAAGGTAATCATCTAATGGTTAAATTATCTGTCCTACAATTAAGCATTTTTTTTCTCTCAGAAGTGTCAAAACCAGACATTATTTATTATTTCAACAGACACATATCCTGAAATATCCAGGTTCAAATCAAATATTTTAATATTTACTGAGTTTTGGTTCTACTGCAATTAAAAAAACATAGCTCACATTTCCCTTCACTCATTCACTCATGGTTTTGATATCCTAGACTAGGTCTTTTACATTCTAGTTGCAAGATAGGAATTACTTGGAGTTAAAGGAGAATTGCAGGAAAGAAATTGAAGATGTTGTACATTATTAGCCCATTTTGCTCCATCGTGTTTCATCACTGGAAATCAGTAGAATTTGGGCCTTGGAGACATTACATTGAGATACCTTCTGCAGGGCTATTAGTGACCATCAAATAAAAACAGCAGAGTACTTACAGCTATGACTTTTTAAAGGACTTTCACAAATGTTGAGGACCTGAAAAAATTATCTGTAAAATACCTAAAGAAAATTATGTGTTTGATATGCTAATGGGCTAGTATAGTGGGGCTCTAAAGAAAATGTGCGTGGAACCTATGCAAATCCTAAGCCAGACTCAAATCTCCTTGGGAATGATCTCCTATCTACTTTGCTCTTTCTTAGTCTATAGCTTGAGTTGATTGGGAGCATTGGCTGATAGAGTACAATGGAGAATGATATAGAATTAGAATCTTTAATGCTGAAAGGTATGGTGGAGACCATCTGTCCAGGTGTTCAAACTGTGCCTCAGTTGCAAAAGGAAGGCAGAGGCAGTGGATCTCTGGTCCATCCCCTATAACTCCCTGTCCTTACTAGTTTATCAGATTAGCTCCCCTTGGATCTGTTTAAAGCATTGGGATTCCCTGTAAAGTTTTGTTTGGGAAATGAGTTAACATCTTAGTGTAAGAAAACTACTGATCTATGTCAACTCCCTCATTTTTACTAATGAGTGCTCTGAGGGTCAAAGAGTATAAATAAATTACCCAAGGTCTCCTGACTAGCTGATAAAGCCAGGTTTTTGGAAGCCTAATTCAGGACTATTTCTTCAAGCAGAGACTGAGGATTTCTACATATAAGAAAATAAATCTGTTCTAAAAGCTATCCCTGATCTTATGGTA